CAGAATCCCTCACCTCTCCAGCCAGCAGGTAGATGATCTCCATGGTGACATTACCCAGAATCCCTCACCTCTCCAGTCAGCAGGTAGATGATCTCCATACTGACATTACCCAGAATCCCTCACCTCTCCAGTCAGCAGGTAGATGATCTCCATACTGACATTACCCAGAATCCCTCACCCCTCCAGTCAGCAGGTAGATGATCTCCATAATGACATTACCCAGAATCCCTCACCTCTCCAGTCAGCAGGTAGATGATCTCCATACTGACATTACCCAGAATCCCTCACCTCTCCGGTCAACAGGTAGATGATCTCCAAAGTTAGGTCCAAGATCCTCTCTGTCATCTGATTCCGGTCCTTGTTCATCTTCACTGAGCCAGTTAGATGATCGAACACTGGCCCAAGTCCTAGTAGAAACACCTGAATCCTGTGTGATTCTGAAATTTTACACATATAATTTATTTTAATCACATTAAAATATATTAGAAATAGATGAACATCCAATGCAACCATGTCCCTTTAGAGAGAAGTAATGGGTAGCCAGGCTTGACATAACTAGGGGGTGATATTTACCTTGTATTATATACATAACCAGGGGGGTGATATTTACCTCGTATTATATGCATAACTAGGGGTGATATTTACCTCGTATTATATACATAACCAGGGGGGTGATATTTACCTCGTATTATATACATAACCAGGGGGGTGATATTTACCTCGTATTATATACATAACCAGGGGGGTGATATTTACCTCGTATTATATACATAACTAGGGGGTGATATTTACCTTGTATTATATACATAACTAGGGGGTGATATTTACCTTGTATTATATATATAACTAGGGGGTGTTATTTACCTCGTATTATATACATAACTAGAGGGTGATATTTACCTCGTATTATATATATAACTAGGGGGTGATATTTACCTCGTATTATATATATATATAACTAGGGGTGATATTTACCTCGTATTATATATACATAACCAGGTGTTATTTTCATTATTATATACATAACTAGGGGTGATATTTTTATAAATTATATACATAACCGGGGGTGATATTTTACTATAGGTATTGTATGCATAACCAGGGGTGATATTTACCTGTGTATATACATAACCAGGGGTGATATTTTACATAAATGTTATATACATAACTAGGGGGTGATATTTACCTCGTATTATATACATAACCAGGGGGGTGATATTTACCTCGTATTATATACATAACTAGGGGGTGATATTTACCTTGTATTATATACATAACTAGGGGGTGATATTTACCTTGTATTATATATATAACTAGGGGGTGTTATTTACCTCGTATTATATACATAACTAGAGGGTGATATTTACCTCGTATTATATATATAACTAGGGGGTGATATTTACCTCGTATTATATATATATATAACTAGGGGTGATATTTACCTCGTATTATATACATAACCAGGGGGGTGTTATTTACCTCGTATTATATACATAACTAGGGGGTGATATTTACCTTGTATTATATATATAACTAGGGGGTGTTATTTACCTCGTATTATATACATAACTAGGGGGTGATATTTACCTCGTATTATATATATAACTAGGGGGTGATATTTACCTGGTATTATATATATAACTAGGGGGTGATATTTACCTCGTATTATATACATAACCAGGGGGGTGATATTTACCTCGTATTATATATATATAACTAGGGGTGATATTTACCTCGTATTATATATATAACTAGGGGGTGATATTTACCTGGTATTATATATATATATAACTAGGGGGTGATATTTACCTGGTATTATATACATAACAAGGGGGGTGATATTTACCTGGCATTATATATATAACTAGGGGTGATATTTACCTCGTATTATATATATATAACTAGGGGTGATATTTACCTCGTATTCTATATGTAACTAGGGTTGTTATTTACCTCGTATTCTATATATAACTAGGGGTGATATTTACCTCGTATTCTATATATAACTAGGGGTGATATTTACCTCGTATTATATATATAACTAGGGGTGATATTTACCTCGTATTATATATATAACTAGGGGTGATATTTACCTCGTATTATATATATACTAGGGGTGATATTTACCTCGTATTATATACATAACTAGGGGTGATATTTACCTCGTATTATATATATAACTAGGGGTGATATTTACCTCGTATTATATATATAACTAGGGGTGATATTTACCTCGTATTATATACATAACTAGGGGTGATATTTACCTCGTATTATATATATAACTAGGGGTGATATTTACCTCGTATTATATATATAACTAGGGGTGATATTTACCTCGTATTATATACATAACCAGGGGGGTGATATTTACCTCGTATTATATATATAACTAGGGGGTGATATTTACCTCGTATTATATATATAACTAGGGGTGATATTTACCTCGTATTATATATATAACTAGGGGGTGATATTTACCTTGCATTATATCAGAGGTTTTAAAACTGACATCAATTTAGAATATTTAATGAAACGTAATTATATATGTATAAATTTATTTATTATTTATGATTTGATTATAACTTTTTAAAAAGCGCAAAGTGAAAATTTGATGACAGTTGTCCTTGCAGGCTTTAGACAGCCACAGTCAGCGTGTGAAACAGTAAATATACAATATTGCTTTATAGAAAAGTTTAAAAATATTACACACCAACAGCAGCCGTTTTAGGAACCATGACGCTGACTTCTGGGGGTTGTCCGGCCATGCAATGTGTACAGAATACATACCTTGGATTGGGCAGTACTATATTGTTATACACAGTGTACTGTACACTGCATAGGGTGTAATCAAATATAGAGGCCGAGTATTGTCCCCTGAAAATCCTACAGGGGTCTAAAGGTCTCTTTAAGGGTTTTTTAAGCCAACTCAAATGCAAATAG